TTTCTGCTTCACAGAGAAAAGTATAATTTCAACTCCTCAGCTCAAGGTTGTATATATGATTAATAACTGAAATATCGCCGACATAAAGTGGGCTTTCAGTCTTCAGCCTTCTGAGACTCTTCATTTTATATTTCTTCCCATGATTTGTTTTACTTCAGCCAGATACATGAGCCTGGCTATTTCTGTCGTTAAATTCCTGCAGTAAAAACGAAACGGTCATCATTATGTGACGTTTGCTCTGAACGTGGGGTCCTCCGGTGAAGCGGGCCCATTAGGCTCATGTAAAATATCATAAATTACTTAATCTTGCCCACCAGCTGGCCTTACATATACGTTGCTAAAAATAGAGAGGAAAGCACACCATGTAGCGGACACCGAAAGCGGCCGTTGTGTCTTAACAACAATCATTTATTGCTCTATTGCAATAATACATAACCGTAGTGAGTTATAATAATACACATGCTGGTTTACTTCCATGAGAGGAGAGGGCAACCATTTTAAATTATGCAATGTCCTACACAGATTTCAACGAACGTCCTCCACTGGACTAAATAAATAAATAAATAAATAAATAAATAAATAAATAAATAAATAAAAAATAAAAATAAAAATGGGAACATAGCAAAAATCAGTGTGATATCATTAAAGTTAGTAGTTTGCGTTATTGACTTCAGTTCATAGGAGGGAATGAGTTTGTTCAATTGGGACAACATTAGTCTAACAATTACAAAGTGAAAGCAAATGCATGGGTTCAGTTTTCATACTTTATAGAAAGGACTGGCTATAGGTCCCTGTGGTCTGAAGATGAAAACAGATGTAGCAGAGTCATTTTAAGGAAATTTCAATAAATCAGCCTAACTTTAGTAGAATATATATCCTTTCTTCCTGTTGCAACTAAAAACTTTTTGTACCCGTCTTTCACACAAATGATGTCAGGCTCACTTACTTGCACCTACGCCAAGATAGGTGTGATCATAAAGACAGTAAAGAAAGGCCAAGATGCTGGATTTATTTCTATTCCAGGTGTCTTTGCAGGTAAAAGTTTTTTTTTTTTTCTGTTTTTTTTTTGCCTTTGCTGCACATATTTAATAATTCATTTGATTTTGGCATTTTAAAATTAGATATTAATATTTATTGAGTGAGAGGGAAGGTACACCCTGGACGGTTCGTCAGGACAAGCATGCGTTGTTGGACAGCCAGAACACCCAGAGAGAGAGAGCACTCAAACTTTGTGCAGAAAGACCCGAGGCAAGGATTAGATCTCAGGGTCCTTTTACTGCAATGCAACAGTTCTATCAAATGCACCATCATCCAGCCCTCATATGAATTCAATTGTTTGTGAATGAAAGTCTTTTAGGACTTTATTACTGTGTTGTCTTTTTATTATTATTATTATTATTATTATTATTATTATTATTATTATTATTATTATTATTATTATTGTTGTCATATTTCATGCAGATTTACATTAAAGATCATTTTAATCCAGACAAAGATCATTTTAATCCAGACATGTGGAGACGTGTGTGATTCATTTTAGTTCACTTATCCTGAGTCTTAATGTTTTAAAGGCCAAAACGTAACTCAGTCAAACTTATAACCCAAGCTCGGTGTGGTAAATCAGCCCTCGCAAATATTGGTCCATACTTTACCCAGCATTTTGTAAACAAAAAAGCCCCTCGTGTTTAAACGTAGTAATCTTTAGATTGCGTATTTCTTTTTATGTTCTTTCCCTTTTCTCTCCCTGTTCAGAATGTTTCCTTTCATTACCAGCTATGCGCTCATTCATTTGCGCTTCCTGATTTTTATTTTTTTTTTTGTTGTCTTTGATTCTTAAAGTTGTATGTGGTCTTCTCTCCCTGGACCCATTAAAATGTACTGTCGACTGCTATAGAAATGCATTGTTGAATAGACATAAATACTGCAAACCATATTGGGGTCATGATAGGGAAAGAATGCTTAGATAAGAATCGTTATATAGCGCCAATTCACAACGAATGTCGTCTCAAGACACTTTAGAGAAACACGAGTTCAGTTCAGTCATACTTACATTCCAACTGATGCTAGTTATCAAAAAGTACAGTATACCCAATTAATTATTTAAAGTAGATTAAAAACTCTATCATAATCGATTGCATCGATTGCAGCGCTCGACACTTCATTATTCATGCATTACCTCCCATAAGCATTTCCACCCCTTTGACTTTTTCATATTTTGCTATAAACATAAACCAATTTCATTGGACCTACACAAAGTACCACAATTAAAAAAAAAAAAACGTTTTAAATACTAAAATATGCAAACGTATTTCTTTCTTTATCACTCCGATAATTACATTGTAGAAACACATTTTACTGCAATCACAATTGCATATCTACCAAATCATGTCTCCATCACTTTTTGCAAATGAAGGCAGTGAAGGTCTTTCCCATTCTTCTGCCTAAGTAACTCAGGTTCAGTCAGACTCTGTGGAGAGCTTCTGAAAAACAGTCATTTTCATGTCTGGCCAAATAACCTCAATTACATTTGAATGTGACCTTTGACCCGGCCATTACATCATGTAAATATGTTTTGATCTAAACTATTCCATTGCATTTATTTTGACTGTCTATCAGTACTGTTGTGCAGCTGGAGGGTGTAGCCTTTTGCCCCAGTCTCAAGTGTTAGTGACCTCAGCGTGGCTCAGTAATTAAGTCCATCTATCTTCACATAAGCACCAACACAGGATGATGCCGTCACCACCGTGTTTCACGTCGTTGATGGTGTGTTCGAGGAGGCTCTGTTATGTTCGTTTTCTTACTTTGTTGCTTAGAGTATACTTTTTTTTTTTTTGCAAAGCAATGTAGTTATGTTTCACAGTTGCAAAATTGGAAAAAATGGTAAAATTTTTTTCCTAATTCGTTTTTGTACAAAAAGCAATGTATTACAAGTGTGCTAACAGCTTATTTAAAAACGGCCAGTAGCAGATTGTTAAACTCTCAGCGCTCTGATGACTAAGAATACACTGCTGCTGCTACCTCCATGGGGGACTGCACATTATGGCAGAATTAAAAGATGGCATTATTCATCTTACAGGCTGTGTTATAGTAACGTTTCTAAAAACCAGGACCCTCTGCAACCAGGCAAGCTTGTTGTCAGAATGAAAGTCTTCTAGTTTGCAAGCTGTGGCTCTAATTCTCTGCATTTAATGTTATGATCAGTAAGCATATGTTAGTGTAAAAAAAAAATAAAATAAAATGGTGTGGTAAGGACAGTCTTCCAGTCGTCCGCCAGCTGCAGCTAAAACCCGGGCATCCGGTTCCGAAGCCAATAAGAAGCAGTGCCAGTAAATACTTCTGAGAACTGTTGAGTCATTTGATGTGGGACTGAATGCTGATCAGTTTTCTAATTACACTCACACCCTGATGTAAGTAGTGTTCACAGGTTTCTTGACCAGTGTAAGATTGGCTGTGCTCTTGTGCTAAATGTGATTGGTGTCCAGCAATCGGACGACGAGAGGGTCAGAGCGATCAGCCTGTAACACGCTCCACCTTTTAGAGTCTGTGTTCTAGTTTGAACTACATCTGCTTGTTTGTCCCGTTTAAGCATGCAATGATACAACTAATGATTTAAACATAAGGTGTTAAATAATGACAAACCAATTTCCAACTTGCAGGGTGTGTGTGTGTGTGTGTGTGTAGGATGGGGATGTGGTTTACCTATTTCCAGTGGTCATCGCAGGGTAACACAGAAACGCACAAGACAAACAACTATGCACACGCAAAGACAAGTTAGAAAGACCAGTGAACCCAACAGTCGTGTTTTTCAACATGAAAAGCTGAAGTACCCGCAGATGAAGACAGGCAAACGGAGAGATAAAACATGTAAAACTCCACACAGAGGGAGGGGAAGGAGGTACACCCAACAGCTATCTCTTCTAAATAATAACAGTGGAGCAAAAAAAAAAAAAAAAAATCCATTCTGGTTTCACCCTGTCAAGATCAAGAAGCTTCATCATCATTCTTGGTGTACTAACGGATCCCCTGTTCGATACACGAGGTGACGGTGCAGCATGAACTGGAGCAAGACAATGGACAAAACAGGCCAGACAGCAGCCGTCCAGAACTCAGCCTGAGAGCAAGGGGGTTAGCAAACGGCAGCGCAAGAATGAGGTGGAATGGATACGTATTTGTTGGATCTAACCACAGATCCAACAAATCAGAGCTTAAGAACTTAAGAACCCAAAACAAATTCAAACAACTCAAGCCCTTGGCAGAACTGCAATAAGGAGGTAAAAGGCTGGACTGCTTATGACATTCTTCATCAGAGATGATCACTTTTTGTCCTCCAAAGCCACTAAGTGTCACTTTCACTTACTCTTCCCAAGCCAGGGAAGAATAAATGAAATTTAGCTGTTTTTGACAACCATTTAAAGTTTGATTCATTTATCAATCTGCGGACAAAGAGCTGTTTCTTATGACTCAGAAATATCTCAAAACTCACGAGTATAATTTGAAAAAAAAAAAAAAAAAAAAAAAAAACTTTTTTTACCACTTCAATAACCTCAAGGATAGACTATTGTAATTCACTTTAATTCGGAATTAAATTCTGGCAGAATTCAATAGCCATATTTCTAACCAGAAAAGGAGAGAAAATTACACCTGTGTTAGGATCAATCCGCTGGCTTCTTGTGAAGTACAGAATCAATTTTATTTTGTGTTTGTGTGCTTGAAAGCTTTTTTATGATTCGTCAAACAGATATATTCTGAACTACTTTTTCTCCATTTTTTTTTTTTTTTTAATGACCGCTCTCTAAATTTTAATTATTATTATTTGGTTGTTATTATTTTTGTATTGTCTTAAAATCCATGTTTTTCCTGGTACCTAATTGCTATTGTCTTGCTTTTTTAATTAACTAGAAAATCCCTTTGAAGTAAAATGACTTCTTATTGCAACTCGCCTCTGAGTAGCAGTTTTGAAGTTATTGTACACAAAGTGTTGTTTTTTATTTATTTTTTATTTTTTTTTAACTTTTTCTACTGTTTTCAAAGTAACAAATCAAGCAGATATTAGCTGGTTAGTCAGGCTAACTGCTCAGGTAGCCAGTGTGCAGTACGCTGCCCAACAGAAGTCTCCTGTAGCTTACAACTGTAGTTTTGCACTACTTTAAGATAGACTCTTCTTTAGTCTCCACACCAGGGATATCTGAATTTTCTCCACTTGGAAATATTTCCAAACAAGCCAAATCTGTCTTTCTTGTCAGCAAAGACAAATGCAGTAGACGACTTGGTCAGTTGACCTGCAGTTCTCTGAAACAGGTGGGGCCGCACTGTGTTGTTCAAACTCTTGATCACTCTGAGACTTTTTTTTTTTTTTCCTAACCTTCCATCAGTAGAAAGTAACTTTCTAAAATACTTTAAATTGGATTCAGCCTGAGGCTCCTGACAGAGACAGAAAAAAAAAAAAAGTTTTACATTGTACGTCTTAATTGTAGAACAGAAACAAATCAGACTCGAGGCTGAAAATAATGTCATGACAGGGTATAAATTACAGCTGGTTCTTTGTAAGAAAAAAAAACAAAAACTTTTCCATTTAACGATAATGTCGGTGCCGATTCATCCTTTGATTTTGATTTGATTTATTTTTAATATATATATACTTGAATGAGTCTAAGACAGAGGTCTGCAACGCCAGTTTTCAAGTCTTGCAACTTTCGATGTATCCCTGCTCCAAAACACTTGAACCAAAAGGCTGAATTACCTCCTTGGCATATGAGCAAACTCTTCAAAGGCCTGGTGATGAACCCTTCAGGGATGCCTCCAGAAGTTGCTTTACAGTGGCACTCAATGGCAAGAGTTTCAGACCCTCTGGTCTGAGGGTAAGTGCAAGTGTACCGACTGAAGAAAACTCCCATTTTTCTGAACAATGTTGGGCAGGCGTGGACCGAAGCAACTGTGTAAAAAAAAGTTTAAAAAAAACTATGAAAAAGCACTGCTGGAAAACACACTTTTGAAAGAAACTTCATCTCCAAGGTGGCAAAATGTAAAGATATGATGAGTCAGACAAACAATCAATATTCAGTCATCAGCCAATCCACAGAATCCAAGTTAAGCTTTAATTTCTGTTGGCTTGTGAATAAAATCATAGGCATGCGTTTCCGTTTCCCTTCATAAAACCCTGCGCGACTTTGCAGTGAGATGTGAGTCATGCGTGTGCCATTTTATGATGCTTTGCTGCACCATTTACGCCGACTCGCTTCAGGTGGCGACACACTCACCTGTGGCGTTCTGCTCCTTTCTGCCGCTCACACAGCCAGGCAGACACAGAGACAAGTGTTGCTGTGGAGTGAAAGGCAAGTATTCAAGAGGCAGTAATGGGGGACTCTTCTGTGGAGAGTAAGATTTCTCTAAAAAGACAAAACGTCGAACACTTATAGGCCAGTCAGGATACACATTTGGGGGAAAAAAGAGAAAAAGAAAAAAAAACAAAAAAACAACCTGGAGTATTCGAGAAGCTTGCCTCGGAACTGCAAACAAGGTCAGGCAGCTCAAATGAGAGAGCTGGCAGCATAACCACAAGGCCGACAGAGAGGGCAGGTCTGATCAGCGAGAGGGAGAAGGAGAGGAAGCTGTAAACAAAAGGAGGAGAAAAAAAACAGAGTAAAGACTAATAGTTGCACAAGTTGTTTTTTTTTTGGGGGGGGGGGATTTGTTTCTGAGATATCATTTTATTTTTCTTTAGACATTTTTTGTTTGTCCTCTGAGATTCCAATCTATGGTTTGTTGCTACAACACTCCTAATATTAATGACACAAACTGTATCCAATTGCTATTTTAATATCCTTAAATAAACAATTGCAGTTTGTTTGTTTTTTTAATCAGTCCTGTAAACTAGAGCACATTATCTTCAAGACATTTGCTTTTTTTAAAAATAAAAATAAAAAAAAACATCTTTTGGTAATTGTTCATGGGTGTGCGAGCGTAAGCAGCTGCGGCTTTAGATAAACTTAATCTATACCACACAGAAAACAGATTTACTTCCATCCACTTTGACTCGACTAATGTAAACCCTTTGAATGGTCCCAAGACTCGTCATAATTACCCGTCCCTCTGTGACAATATCGGGGAAACAAAATGCCTGAGTTAAAACCCTCACTTAAGCTAATTTGTCTTTACAGAGCTGGTGATGAAGAGCGTTTCAAAATCAATTCAAAGGAAGAGGCATGCTGCTGTAGCACAGAAACTCAGATTGGGTTTGCTGGAATAAGTTATTAAAAACCGCAAGAACTTAAATGTTTATTCTGATGAAGCAAATGAATGCGCAAACAAGAACAGGTTGTACATGAAAGTGTTTAAACGTTGCTATGTGTTGCTGTTATTTTTGAAGCTGGCATTTTTTGTTCCAATCGTTAAATCCGTGATGATGCAACTGACTGTCATCTTCTCAAACGGAAACTTTTATTTGCTGTTGCCAGTCGGAGTTATGTGACTCTCTTCTGATAAGTTTAAGGAAACAGATTTTTTTTTTTTTCTCCCAGTCCTGTTAAGAAAATCTCCCACGTAAATAGGTCAAAGATTCGGTCTGTCGAAAATCTGCTTGAACCTCCTCAAGGTAAGTTGAATCTTTTAAGTAAAACGTCTTGCAAGAATATTTATACTCTTTAAACTTAAAAAAAATAAATAAATAAATACATTGTGACGTTTTTCAACCACAACTTCAATAGATTTTATTCCTATTAAGTTTTTTAAATAAAAAATATAATATGTAGTAAGGAGCCCAAATAAATCAATGCATTGCAAAACCTCTTTAAAACGAAATAACAGCGGCAAAATGTTTGCTTTGCACATTAAGAAACAAAAATTGTGGCCTGTTCTTTGTAAAAATGCTCAAACCTAACCAGACTGAATGCATAACTCTGCAATTGTCTGTTTTTAAATTCTGCCACTTGCGCATTTGAGCTTAGACTGTATGTTTATTTTTGTTGGTGGGTCAATGGTGACTCTCTCCAAGTCTTATTTATGTCTTATGCAGCCTCTAAAAGGGTTTCCTTCCAGTGTTCCATTTGCCCCATCAATTTAATCACATTTACTGTTGCAATAGAAGAAAAAAGAAAAAAAAACATCCTCTCAGCACGATGCTTGTGGGTATGGTGTGTTCAGAATGCAGTTTTAGTTTTTCCAACTACGATTTTGCACATAATGGCCCCTTTCTACTTGCACCGACTCTGCGAGGCTCGACTCGGCTCCATGAGGTTATAAAGGTTTTCTGCTCATCATGGCAGCCAGTCTACTTTTTTGAGAACTTTGATTAGGTTCCAAGTTTGGTGGGTTGAAAGCGCAACGTCAGAAGACCAACCCACCATGTTAAAATAGTTATCAAAGACGTGTCTAATTTCTGAGTCTGCACATCTAACTGTATCCTTACTAAGAACATCTTTAAATGTTTTTTTTTTTTTTTTTTTTTTTTCCTGGATGTGTTTGCTAATGTCGAATAAGATCATCATTTTACCTCGCAAAATAACTCTATCAGCACTAACGGCAATAAACAAACATTTTACCCCCCCGTGATAATAATATATGAACATAAAACCAAGGCAATGAAATTCTAAAACCTATACATCCTTAGGCAATATTATCTAATAGCTTTCCATTTATCAGCATGAAATTTAGTCACATCGATTGCATCCATAGGGTTTGTATTGTATCCAAATTAGAGCTATTATTGCACCAAAGGCTGCAGATTCTAATGGTCTGTGGCTTTATTGGCACATTAAAACATCATCAGTATGAACAGTGCGCTTCACAAATAAATCACACCATGCTGGAAGTCTCAACTGTTTTTCTATAACATAGTCCAAAAACAACTCTACTTCTCACTGCTGAAATCAGATTTGCACCACTTCAAAACTAATAAGACAACTCCATGTATTTATTTACTTACTTACTTACTTACTTTTCCTTGACACAAGCCTGTTGAAGCTCCAACTTTTCTCTGAGAGCTCCCACATTTTTTCCCTCACACACCTGCTGGCTCAAAGGGTCGGGGGGGGCTGACAAGTCAATGCAGTTCAGGTGTTGTAATTGAAGTTTGCCACCAGCTGGTTGCGGTGTAGCTTGGCAGGGTAAAGAGGCGAGGAGCCGGCAATCGGGCAGAACAGGTGATGGTGCTTCAGTGCTGCTGGCCTCGGCTCACAACAAGCCCCCTTGTTTGTGGAGAGCCACTTGTGCCTACAGGCTTTGCGGGCAACATAATGGCTCTAGCATTAAAATAAAAAGAAAAGAACGAGCACTTCATTGAATATTAATTTGAATCTGAATGTGCTCTAAAAAGGAAAACCAACTAACCTCTTTAGCAGCGGCTATTTGAACATTGAAATTAGGAAGAAAGCAGAGACAAAGACCCAAACGGTATTTTTCTTTTTTTTTTTTTTTTTTTTTTTTTGAACAAACACAGTCAATGCTGGCTAGCCGTGGTTCCCAATATTCACTTAGCCTAATGCAAACCACCCACACTCTGAAATCCAAACTAGGCATGCTGCAGTCAAGAGTGGTTTTCATTCAGGACCACGCTCTATTCCAAACTTTACAGTAGCTCTCTGTCTGAGCTGCTTGCCGTATTGGCTGGTGTCTTTGATCATCGATTAAAAGCTGCTGCTGTTTCTTATCTTGCCATTCATGCTGGCATTATGAAAATAATGTTACATGGGTCTAAAACTGAGCAAACGAAAAGGATTTTATTTAAAAAAAGTTAGGCTATGTCTTCAAAGAAAGGCACCATGGTTCTGAATATGGTATGTTTGTTGGGGGTCTATTGTTTAAATGCTTCTTACTCCATCATGAAAGGGTTAATATATATTTTTTCCTTTTTTTCCCCCTGTTTCTATATCAACTGACTGTCTGGAAAGAGAATATTAATGCTCCATTAGTGTCTCCATGTGGTCCTTGGTGAATCTTCACCCTCCCAACCGTACAATATAGTGCAAGATTACACAATGTCACCATTGTGTCATGGTTGATTTTATAGTTGGTAAAGCAAAACTTAAGTCAAATGAAAGGTCCTTACACATTTAAGTTAAATAAGAACTACTAAGATAATCTCGAAAACATTTCTTATCCAACTATTCTCAGGTGACGTTGTACAATACCAGGGGATATTGTAATATTGAACACTTGTTTTTGGTATTGTTTTTGATTAGTCCAGTTAGCTTCCTCGGTCGGGAGGGCACAGAACATGAGAGAGAGAGAGAAAAAAAAAGAAAAAAACAAGACTCATTACCACGTAGCACTAAAGGAAGAAAAGCTGAAAGGCGAGCAGCTCGGATTCACTTGTTACAGAACAAACTGTTGTAACTGCCAGCAATTTCTGCATCTCGCAGAAAATTTGAAATCGATCACTGCATTTAAACACCGTGGCACTTTGGTGCTGGTGGGTGAAGGCCAGCACCTCAGATGCTTCCTTAACAGAAACAGTGGCACAGCAAGCATTTAGGAGCAGCAGACTTCTGTTGAAAGACACGTCAATAAACAGTTACTTGGGGTAGCACGGTTGTTTGTCAAATGCAATTACAGAATAAAAAAAAAAAAAACTGTCTTGAGACCGAAGTCATCTAGTTCAAACCATATAAACCATATAGATATTGTAATAAAAGGTAAACATAAATGAATGTAAGACACAAAAGGAGCCAGAACAGAGAGCTCTTACAAAAGCATGAATGGAAGAGAGACATTCCACAAGAAAAATATATACGCTTAAGAGCAAACCTCAGGATTGCACCTTGAGAAAATAACAAGATTGCACCTTGATGCCCTTTTTCAAAAGACCTTTATGTGTAGCGGCAACAGCTAATAGTCCTGAATTAGTCGCATGATAAGACAGAAGACGCCTCACAGCGAACAAAATGTTGAAAAGGAGGTTAAAGCTAAAGAGCCTTGCAGGCAGCTGTGGAAGAAACCATTGGGCTATTGAATTTTACACGTTCACACTTAAATATTACATGTAATTAAAATGTTATGATTGAAAATGATGTCGTATTCAATTATTATCAGTCTTTAAAAGTTAGAGGACATGTATCCAGAGGTGGAGCCAAATAATTTCCATAGGCTGGAAGTGCGGCTCATTCAGAGGTGACCAACAACTCACTGGCACATGAGCCAGTTTGGAGCACAGCATGCATATTTTCCAGTTAATTCACTAAAGATGGAAGTGTACATCAGTCTTTATAAATGTATGACGTGTAAGCGTATTTCAATGCTCCCCCCCCCAACTGTTTGGGAGTGAAACTGCTGGAGTGGACAGTGATTGGTCAGGAGAAGAGCCATGGCCACCCAATGGCTTTGCCCCTACATGTATCATCGTTTTTGAGATGTTTCCTTTTCGATTGGGCTCCAGGTTTAAACTTTCAAAAATTATACTTATTTCCACATCCAAAGTTGAGAAATATGTAACAAAGCATGAGAGACAGAAACTACAATAAAATACATTCTAGATTGCAAGCAAAAGTTATTGACCCTGTGGAACAATGTTTTCTGAGAGAAGCATCCTGGAGAGCCAAAAGTCCAGCACTCTAGCCAAGAATTTAAAAGCACTCTATGGTGAATGAGTCTTCCTGGAATGTTCCATAGT